AGAAAGAGAGGGGATGACATGCAGGTTGGAAATCGAACCGTGGCGCACTGCGATAGGCACTCATCCTTAGTACATGGAGCACATGCTCTACCAGCTAAGCTACCAGGGCAGGACAAGCAAAAAGTATAAAAATATAATGTTTTTTTCTCCTCCACTAGCTCCAGAGAGAAACATCTGGCTTTTAAGCTGCTAAATTCTCCAGCTGTGTTCACCAGCTACTTGCAAACTTTGTCTGCTGTTTGGTGGTGGCAGTGTTACCAGATTGGGTGGCTTCACACCCAATTGGAGCACTTTTTTATTTGACTGGGCGGGGAAAAATGTTTTTTGGTGGCTTGTGATAATTAGGTCTGTTACCCCTGTTGTTAGGTTGGCTGTGTTCCACTCCTCCTCTCAGTACTGATATAACAGACACAAAAAAACAAAATCAAATGACATTTAAGTTTATTACAGCTCCTTTTTCAAGTTATTATTTCGGCAAGGCCTGTTATAAAAGCTCCATATAGCCGAATGTAACAACAGAATTGGGTGATAATTCGAATGATAGCTCTGCAACGCCTTACACATAGTGATTTGATTCACACTTAATATAAAAATAATTAGGGCAGCTTTTTAAACTAATGTCCTTTATCTAAGGTCCAAACATCAGGGCCGGTGTAAATACAACAGTGGACACATCAAGCTGTGTGCACCTTGAAGATGGTGACATGTGTGACCTTTGTGTGAGTATGAAACCGTGTCATTCTGTAATCCTGTGTGACACTGAAAAGGACACACAAGACAAAAAAAGACGAGTAAAATCGAGGGATTAAGCTCTAGATTTGCTAAAAGTAAACTTTTTACCTGAGTGTCACGTATCAATGCCAGTTCACTCACATTTTGTTACAAACGCTCTAATCTGCCTGCTGGTGTAACAACGGACACAAGACTCATTCACAGTAAAATGAGACGCATCTGAATGTTTTTTTTTTTTATCTCCCAGAGCCCGTACACAAACACACACACTTAGAGCAGGCCGCGTGTATTGGCTATTATTTAATCAGGCTGAAACAGCGTCTGGGCTGCGGGTGGTTCTGATAAAGGCGTGGACGGCTCCTCGGAGAGCTCGTCATGTGGATTCAGGAGGTCTCCCGGCAGGCGCCTCTTTTGTTGTTGGGGAATGAAGGGCTGATAAGCAGGGCACCAAAAATCACCCATGGAGAATGAGGGGTGGGGGGGACGGCGGAGGAGCAAGACAAAGGCTGTTAAATTTAACCGCCAAGGGCATAAAGCCACACTCCAACTCTGATTGATTTCCTCCCCAAAGTCGATGATGTTCAACCGGTTACGGCTTGTAAAGAGGCCGCTTCTGTCTCTCACTTGTTTATCACAGTGTCTTTGTGTCTGCGTCCTCATCCGCAGTCCGACACACACACAC